TAATCACCACTGGCGTTTTCAAGGACGCGTTTGTGTGCCTTCTCCCTTGCCTGGACGCGATCTTTTGCAGCCTGTAAATTGGCCAGCGTTGGACGCCGCGGAATAACCTCCGAACTCTCTTCCACCTGATTCACCTGGCTAGTAGAGGACTGAGGAAGATGACTGTGGAATAGTTTGTGCTGATTGAAGTGTCGCGAGGCCGCCGCAAGATCGGTTTGCATATTTGCGTGTCCGTCGGCGCTGGAGTAGGGACCGGGGTTGTCGTGGTGTGGCGCGTAGTTCTGCGTTCTGCGCTCCCTATGCAAAAAGTAATTTGGACCTTCATGACTCTCAGAATGTGGCAGCCTGGGCCTTGTTGATCCTGGTTCGCATACACCTGTCTCACTGAAAGGTTCAGAAGCATCCATTTGGGAGGCGGCAAAAGACTGACTCGAAAATTCCCGTAGATTCATAGCCTGAGGGTGAAAGAAGGAGGCATGACGACCAAACTCTCTCCTCAGGCGCCAGCTTGCAAAAGAAAATCTACGTTGAGCAGCGTGGTTCGAACTGGGAGCTGTGAGTTCGTCGACCATCTGGTCCATGTCCAGGGAAGGGTTTGGAGCCGATGCCATATTTGGGTGACTCATAAGTCTGGCGAGGTAAACCGGATGCTGACGCCATAGACTCTCGAATCGGCTGGTCTACAGTAGCAAGACGGCAGAGGAAAGTGCGGGAAGTTCACAAATAAAACGAGCAAATTTTTACAAGAACATTTGAAACACTATATTACTTTCGCAAGGACCAGGTGGAAACAAGGTTTGCCTGTTCCCCGTTACACTTTTCCGAATATGCTTGTCAACTTCGTGCTTATTATAATTCTATTATTTCAAAAATAAAATAAAATATTATAAGTATCGGTTAATTGTTTTTCGCTGCATTTTGACTATTGCAACAGTGGCTTAATTGAGAGATTCCATTGAACATGAATGCACCCGAATACCAAGGGACCTGTTTCATGGTGTGTGCGATTCCACTGCTTCGCGTTGTCGGCAGTGTCATGATCAAAAGGGACGTCAGTTTGAGAATAGTCAGTAAAAAAAGCCAATAAAATGATACTTGTATAAATTTCACATTTTTTAAATAATAAAATTACGATAAACACCAATTTTACAATTATCTAAAATATGTATACATTTTTTGGGACACCCTGTATATTACTTTCTCAAGGACCAGGTTGAAGCAACGTTTGCCTGTTCCTCATTACAATTTTCCGAAAATGCCTTATATATAAAGTCATTAATCCTTTATTTTGCGCAATTTCAATGAAAACAGAAGCAAGAATCGAAGAGTTTATTAGAAAAATAAAAGCGGAATTTGAAATCAAGAACTAGTTTCACGTAGAGGGGCCTACACATGAATCAGTGTGGCTAGGCGGCCACAAATGATGCCTTCGACAAACTTAAGTCATTTTTTGTGCTTATTTGTAGAGCGGAGTGCCGACATGTTGCACGCGGCCAACCAAAAATAAGGGAAAACTCTTGAGTCATTGTAGGTTTATGTTTATCTATTACCATGGATTTGAGTTTACTGCTAAGGATCATTAGCAGAGGGTAAATTCACGGTTGATAATAGCGATTAAGGCTTCCCTATACGACGTCAGCAACCTAAAAACACCAGCCTCACGATGATGACTGACAAACAAATCACTGTCTCTAAAGAAGGCATAGTGCTCTCGCACCTTTAGGCTAAACCATTTTCATACAATGCTTTCTGCTTTTCCTTGTCAATTCTTCCTTAAAAGGTTTTAGCAAAGGAATGCTGAAAATATTTCCAAAAAGAAGGGATTCTGTTTACCTCGTCCTCGTAGACCACTATGAAGGCCTCTGATAGGCAGACGGTGCAGTGATAACGGTAAAAGAGGTAGATGGGCATGGCTATCGCAAGCAGTACCCAGGCGTAAGGAGCATTGTCTGTTATGGCATATAGGATGTCGGCCTCCTTAAGCTGTAATAAATAATAACAAAATAATGAGGGGTAAGAATATCAAGCCGCAGAAAGAAAAACAAGGCGGAAAAATAAGGAGGAGAAAAAAAGAGGAGGAGGACAGAAGGAAAAGAAGAAAATTTGGTAACGAAGAAGAAGAAGAAGAA